GACGTAGTGTATATTATAAAATTTCCTGGGGATATGGTGACATCCATGTATTAATTGAAGGAAAAGAAATTGCAGTTATGATGCTATAGTGAATTGATATGATGTCAAGTGATGTATAATGGAGGTGTAAAGTTCTTAAAGAGGCTACCATGTGGAATATAAAGATGCAGAAGAATGAGACCAATTTATTCTGATGGTGATGTGTTTTCCAGTGCCATACTGAGCCGTGTGCCAGGCTCCGCATGCAGAAAAACTAGAAGCACAGGCAATGCTCATGTCACTTGATCTCTATGATTTTGGCTGCAACACTCATGATCTTTCAGCTAATGAGCTATAAGAGATTTTAAGACTACCTTGAGGTATATGTACTTCCTCAAATCACTGTGGTTTGGGCCAAAGAAGTGAATAAATACACACAGCAGAGAACAGGCTCAACCATACATGGCAAAGGTACTAGCTATGTGACAAATAGGCCCAATTTTCTATGGCAAAAGTAGATGCCATCTTTCATTAATGGGTTAATTTCTCTCCTTTATTGCAAATTGTCATTTTTTGACATGTATCAGCATTTAGTCCTGGCTTAGAGTGTATATGTAAAATGATAAAGAAAAAAGGTTTACAATTTTTGTAATGAACTCTTACACCACTTGTTTTCCTTTTTTTTTTTTTTAATGACGAAGAAAGTAGGAGAGAAATTTTCTCATGTAGTGGTAGCAATTTGGGTCTGTTGGTTATAAGAGTTTAAGTGTAAATGATGGAGAAGTGTGTGAATTTTTTTTTTTTTTTCATTTGTATTTTTAGGCTTGACATGTAACAGTTCAAAGTATGACTGACTGGGTGTAATGCCGAAGAAAGTAGGAGAGAAATTTTCTCATGTAGTGGTAGCAATTTGGGTCTGTTGGTTATAAGAGTTTAAGTGTAAATGATGGAGAAGTGTGTGAATTTTTTTTTTTTTTCTTTGCATTTTTATTTCCTTAATGTTTATTATAATTATTATCATTATTATAATTTTTTTTTTTTTTCTTTGCATTTTTATTTCCTTAATGTTTATTATAATTATTATCATTATTATAATTTTTTTTAAAGACTTTATTCTTCAAATTCCACACATTTCCAGAAGATTCTATATTTATGTACAGTATTAAAACTTAAAAAAAAAAATAAAAGCTGTTAATATATAGCAAGAGTTCGTTCATTTCGTATGTACATTTTTTTCTTTCTTTTTTTTTTTCATTTGTATTTTTAGGCTTGACATGTAACAGTTCAAAGTATGACTGACTGGGTGTAATGCCGAAGAAAGTAGGAGAGAAATTTTCTCATGTAGTGGTAGCAATTTGGGTCTGTTGGTTATAAGAGTTTAAGTGTAAATGATGGAGAAGTGTGTGAATTTTTTTTTTTTTTTCATTTGTATTTTTAGGCTTGACATGTAACAGTTCAAAGTATGACTGACTGGGTGTAATGCCGAAGAAAGTAGGAGAGAAATTTTCTCATGTAGTGGTAGCAATTTGGGTCTGTTGGTTATAAGAGTTTAAGTGTAAATGATGGAGAAGTGTGTGAATTTTTTTTTTTTTTTCATTTGTATTTTTAGGCTTGACATGTAACAGTTCAAAGTATGACTGACTGGGTGTAATGCCGAAGAAAGTAGGAGAGAAATTTTCTCATGTAGTGGTAGCAATTTGGGTCTGTTGGTTATAAGAGTTTAAGTGTAAATGATGGAGAAGTGTGTGAATTTTTTTTTTTTTTTTTTTTTTTTTTTTTTTTCTTTTAGTTTATGAAGCTGTTTATTTCCTATTTCCTTGAGGCTATAAGAGATTTAAGACTACCTTGAGGTATATGTACTTCCTCAAATCACTGTGGTTTGGGCCAAAGAAGTGAATAAATACACACAGCAGAGAACAGGCTCAACCATACATGGCAAAGGTACTAGCTATGTGACAAATAGGCCCAATTTTCTATGGCAAAAGTAGATGCCATCTTTCATTAATGGGTTAATTTCTCTCCTTTATTGCAAATTGTCATTTTTTGACATGTATCAGCATTTAGTCCTGGCTTAGAGTGTATATGTAAAATGATAAAGAAAAAAAGGTTTACAATTTTTGTAATGAACTCTTACACCACTTGTTTTCCTTTTTTTATTGCTTCAAACACTAAAGCCAGAACAGGCCGGAATATCTGTTCACATAAATGTGTTTGTGTTCATATAAATGACATTCCAGATTCCTTGTCTTAATGACACTTAACATCTTAATGAAGGGCAAACATAGAGTATATTACCTCAACTGCCAGCTGCAGCCACATAACAAACAATCTTCCAGAATTACTTACTGCCATTAATAGATACATATGATTTTATATGTAATTAGTAACAATGTTTTCTCTTTAGTAATCTAAGTATCAAGGTATGAAAAATCAAAGGAACAAGAGAAGTCTCAAGACATTTTTTATAGGGAAAGTATCTTTTGAAAATAACTATTTAATGTGTAGATAAACAGAAACAAACAGGAATTCAGCAGAGCCAATATTTTATATAAATATTTTATTATAGAAAAATGATTAGGGTTACTTGTTCTGATAGTATGTAGGTATTAAAGGGAAGAAAGTATGGGAAATACATAGACAAAACATAATGAAGTAAGTGTGCAGTTATGATGAAAATATCCCCATGGTATATTCTTGATGATTACAAGTGTTTCTATGCCTTTTCCATTTCTGTAAACTTAGCTTGAAAAAAAAAAAGAAAAAAAAAATGCATGGAGGAAAAAAGGAGAAACAGAAGAATATGTATTTTGAAATAAGTAAGAACCTCACTAGAAAACTAACAGCATAGAGAACAAAAGTGGTTTTAATTTGAAACACCAGTGAAATAATTCCATCAATAATACAGCTATATGAAAGGAAACCTGAACCAAGATGCTGGTGCGATGTGATGACTTCTTTTTCCTGTTATCTTGAATTTTTTTTTTCTTTTAGTTTAATGAAGCTGTTATTTTCCTATTTCCTTGTATGTAATAAACTTCTGTTCTGAATTTGAGTCCTATTATTTTAATCATGTATGTATCCACATGGTAGTAGGATTTTCTACATGGATAATCCCAGCCTATAGGCAGAACAAAGAAGCAATAATTTTGTTGTATCCAGATGAATAGTGAAATTTTTGCTCTCTATATACTATCACTGATTTAATTTATTCCTCCTAAAACATTCAAAATATCTTATTCTGGATCTAATCTTGTAATTCGCCCTCCCCACCCCCCAAAAAAAAATAAATTGGATTATTTTTAAAGCTTCAATTGGAGTACTCATTTTCATAAGCAGCTTTGTAATGTATGTCCACTTTTGAACCACTCTGTCCTAGAATTTTTTTTTTTTATCATACATGGATGTTTGGATTGAATTTAGTTTCAGGGAAATGCAGATTCGTAAACGTAGAAGTAAAGTAGAATATAGATTTATAAAAGTGAAACAGCTAGAATACAAGTCTATAAATGTGACATTTAATTCACAAGAGGTTTGATTGTGTTCTGGAGGAGTAATTGATCAGGGTAGATTTAAGTTTTGTAAGTTTTTGAAGAAATACGGAAAGTGGCTGTTTCCAGTCAGTAACCCATTGCCGACGGATATGGTATGTACGTACATGCCATGCCCCCTGTGAGTTTACTTGTTTAGTTGTTTTTACTCAGATGGCTACACTTGTACTAAGTCACCAGGGAGCCAGTTATGAGTACTGCCTGTCTCGTCTGTCCACCCTTTTCATTGATTTTCGAAAATGTTTTACGTCATCTTATTTTGCTGTCACAAATGTTTATAGCATTATAGTAATTATAATGTTTATGATGAAAATAACACCATCGATATTTATAGCACTTGTAAAAAATATGTTTTTCCCACCAATTCAAGGAAAGGTGAAATCAGGTAAGGTTTCAAGATCTACTAATTAACTCCTTCGTGGCTAAGCCCTAGCAGAGCTATCTATGTGCAGAGACATTTCACAAAAATATAAAAGAATGAGCACATTTTTCCAGTTTTTTAATCACTTCCCAGCTGCAATGGGTTAAACAGACTGAAATAAAGAGCTGCAAAGATTTTTAATTTACTTTATTGTTCTCTTTTTGTTGCAATTAGAAATTTTAAAAATATTTACGAAAATAATGAAATACTATAATGTAAAACTGATAAAGATGTTTATTATTTTTGTTTATTATTTTTAATGAATAGCCAAAGATAGAAGTTGATTTAAAGACTTGCTAAGGTTTATAGTCACAAGATAGAAGTAATTCATGTGAATACTTTTTGATATTAAAGGTAATTCAAGAGTGCAAGTTGTATATCTGACAGGAAAAAAAGATAACAGGACTTAGGCATATTGCAGCTAGAAATATTGCAAATAACGGAGACATGCAGTGAGAGAACAGTCCTGTTTAAAAAAGGAAAATCAATGATTAATAAGTAAATGCACATACATACTTTCCCTCTCTCTCTCTCTCTCTCTCTCTCTCTCTCTCTCTCTCTCTCTCTCTCTCTCTCTCTCTCTCTCTCTCTCTCTCTCTCTCTCTCTCTCTCTCTTCTCTCTCTCTCTCTCTCGCTCTTTCTCTCTCTCTTTCCTTCTCTCTCTTTCTTTCTCTCTCTCTCTATCTCTATCTCTCTCTCTCTCTCTCTCTCGCTCTCTCTCTCTTGCTCTCTTTCTCTCTCTCTCTCTCCCTCTCTCTCTCTCCCACTTCCTCTTCCTCTCCCTCTCCCTCTCCCTCTCCCTCTCCTTCTCCCTCTCCCTCTCCCTCTCCCTCTCCCTCTCCCTCTCCCTCTCCCTCTCCCTCTCCCTCTCCCTCTCCCTCTCCCTCTCCCTCTCCCTCTCCCTCTCCCTCTCCCTCTCCCTCTCCCTCTTCCCCACATTTCCCTTTCCCTCTCCATCTCCCTCTCTCTCTGTTTCCTTTTCCTTTTCCCTTCCTTCTCCCTCTCCCACTCTTTATTTCTCTCTCTCTCTCTCTCTCTCTCTCTCCTCTCTC